GACAGGGTGAAGGCCTGGGAGGGGGTGGGAGCGAGGTGGAGGAGGTCAATTGGAGTGAAAAAAATGAGACACCTGTAATATTTTCAACAACAAAGATAAATTGGAAAATAATAATAAAAAAAGTAAAAAAATATATATATATTTTTATGTCTAATACAAGCTCATTTTAGTTCACATGTTAAAATGAAAAATGTACAAGAAAATTCTGAAAAAGCAAAGGAGTGAATAAAAGCTACCCCAACCATGTATAAAAATGTATTGTGTTAACCCTGGCCTGCATTGCTCAGCAGCTGAGCATCAACCTAGGATCCAGCAGATCGTGATTTGATTCCCCATCAGGGCAAATGCCCGGGTTGCAGACTCGATCCCCAGTCGGGGGCGTGCAGGAGGGGGCCCATCAATGACTCTCTCATCATTGATGTTTCTGTCTCCTCCCCCTTCCTCTCTCTGAAATCAATAAAAACATATTTGTTTTTTAAAACTTTATAAAGTGACCATAATTGTTATGAAGTGGGTTTCAACAAGCTTCAAAGGATTGAAATTGTATAAAGTATGCTTCTTGCTCTCACTGCAGTTAATCTAGGGTTACTAGAAAGTCCTTATATTTTGAAGTTATAACATACAATTCTAAATAACTCCCAAAATAAATCACCTTTGGAGCTAGGAAATAATAATAATACTACATACCAAAACTTATTTTTTAAAAGTGCACCTTTGCCCATCCCATGTCATTCAGCGGTTGAGCATCAACCTAGGATCCAGGAGACACTTGTTCAGTTCTGGGCCAGGGCACATGCCTGGGTTTCAGGCTCAATCCCCAATGGGGGGCATGCAGGAGGCAGCTGATCAATGACTCTCTCATCATTGATGTTTCTATTTCTCTCCCTCTCCCTTCCTCGCTCTGAAATCAATAAAGATATATTCAAATAAAATAACGTGCACTGTTAAATGCACATATTAGAAATAACAGCTGAAAATTCACAAGTTTTGCATCCATGTTAAGAAACCTAAAACAGTAAATGAAATTTTATTTATTTGTCTGTATTGTTTAAGTAAGCTGCAACAAAGCCATTTTCATTTTAGGGGGAAAAAAGTACTAGAGGAAACATGAGATAATTTTAAAATAATAAGCTAGACTGTTGTGGTAACAACACAAGAAGCCTTTCCTTGCTCAGCCAGCCTGGTCTCTTGTCAGTCTGAAGAGAATAAAGACTGTTTCTATTTATTTTTTTAAAAATATGTCTTTATTGATTTCAGAGAGGAGAAGGAAGGGGGAGAGAGACAGATAGAAACACCAATGATGAGTCTTTGATCAGCTGCCTCCTGTGTGCCCACTACTGAGGATCGAGCCCGCAACCCGGGCCTGTGCCCTGACCTCCCGGGAATCGAACCGTGACCTCCTGGACCCTAGGTCGATGCTCAGCCACTGAGCCACACCTGGCCCAGCAAGACCGTTACTAATTGCTTAGCTCAAAGTGGCTGCTTCTCATTGCACCTCTTCCTGTGAAATCGCAGGAGTTCCGATAGAGGGAACTGCTAAGCTTTGGGTCCCTGGCATTTATCTGAGCCTGGCTCTAACATTTATAAGCTATGTTCTTTTGAACACAGAACCAACCTCTCAGGGCATTCGTTTTATCGCTTGTAAAAGTTCCTATTTTTATAGCGCAGAACATTCATTGCTGAAGGACCTAGGTCTGGACTCTGCCTCCAGGGAGACTGCAAGGTTGGGCCCGGCAGTGCTCAGGGAAACTGGCAGGGAAGCCGTGCACTCGGGGTTCTGGTGTTCAGCCTGGGGTGTGCTCGTGAAAAGTGTCCCACAGGAAATGCTCACCTAATGTCCAACCGCCTCTGGATTCAGGAAAAAATCCTGCTGGTCGTCGGCTGCTTGCCTCATGTCCCAACCATTTGTTTTATAAGGGGTATTTTTGCAACTGATCTGAGGAAACATCTTTATCATACTAAATGTAACCGTGGATTCGGGTCAGTTACTAACCTCCTATTCCGTTTCATTAATTCGCATACATCTGAATGCCAAAAACGATGAATTGATATTTGATGTATAAGACGTTTTGGAAAATAGTGAAGCAGAGTGAAATGCAGGTTATTTAGGAAAAGTGCAGCACCCTTGCGAGGTTATTTTTTGTAAGGCAACCCCAAGAGCAACAGGACACACAGGGGTGGGGTGGTCCACAGGCTCCTTTGGAGCCTTAATGTCTAAAGCTAAGGCAACTGGGCTAACGTTCCCTTCCTAAAACCAGGCTTTTCCATTGAAATCTCTTAGGAAGAAATGGAGATTTATAGGTTCTTTCTCAGTTTCTTTTTCTTAATTGCATTTTCAAAATCAAAATGCAAAACTTTGGTTATCTTCATATCCACCTTTGGAATGGTAAATAAATTTTTACATCCAGAAGCTAAATGAGTGGATTGTTCCATAATTATAGGGAATAATGTTTTGGTCTCAATAAAACAAAGATCTTTTGAGTAACAGGCTGTCTGTGTGCGAATCCTGTCACACTGTGCAAAACAGAGGGAATACGCCAGGAGCTTGCTGGACTGCTCACCATGGTCCTAGACCCCAGCACTGTGAGTGTAAATAACTACTTGCTGTTCTTGGATAAGCACTGGGATTAGGGATGAATTCATTTATTTTCCAAATTTGCTGGAGATTATGTGACTTTCATAATGAGAAGAATGTAAGTATATAAAAATAAGACTGATTTCACAACCCAAACACAGAGAGAGGGGAACAGGCTTTAAAGTTACTCATATCAAATGCCAGCTCTGCAATAAGTGACAGTTACAAGCAAGAAAACCAAGTTGTTTAGACTAATGGAATTTGAAATTACTAGGGAAAAAGAACAGAATTATTTCCATGTGGAATGACAAGGCATAGCTGTAACACTTCAGTGTTTTCCACTCTGGTTTGGGAACTGCTAGGGAATTCACTGTTTCTTTCTTCATTCACCTTTCAAGTTTTATCCAGATCTTTGGATGTTTGAATTTTCTGTGCAATAACAAACAATTTCTTCTAACGTCCAATCTGCAGTCAGGCAGTTCTACTGCTTTGCCTTTCTTTAGCTAAAGGCTGAAGTCGAGTCTGATGGGGTAGCTCCTTTCACTTTCTCCTGGGCAAGGTCTCCATCTGGCTCTGTTAAAGACTGACCACTGCTTCCAGGGCTGTTCACAGGTGAGTTGCAATATCAAACTGTTTGGCTTCCTTCTTAGAGTCAAAAAAAAAAAAACCCCACAGCCTGGCAGGTGTGGCTCAGTGGTTGAGCACTGACCCAGGAACCAAAAGATCCTGGTTCCATTCCTAGTCAGGGCACTTGCCCAGGTTGCTGGCTCAATCCCCAGTAGGGGGCATGCAGGAGGCAGTAGATTCGTGTTCCCCTCTCTCTCTCCCTCTCCCTTCCTCTCTCTCTAAAAAAAATAAAAGAACGCATGCTTATGCTGTTGCTTCCCCTGGAAATCCAGTAGATGGAGCTCTGACTTTAGTCTTTCCATTTCCTTAGCCACTGCACCCCCTTTCATTTCTATATACAGGGTATTTGATACCCTGAGTTCTCAGCAGTTCCAGCTGTTCTGGAGTTACTCCTTCCTTAGTCTCCTTTAATAACATGAACTCCATCCTGGAGTTTAACCCCAGACATTTTATAGAAAAATCTGGATTTTTTCAAGAGCTTTATTCTGGAGAGCTCTGAGGTTTATGTTAGACAGACATGAGCAGAGCAAGGACGATGGTCCAGGTATAGAGACTCAGCAGGGCAGGAAGCCCCGGATGCCTAGCAAGGGGCAAATCTGGGGGAACAGGAACCTGGTCCCCAGGGTAACCTGTCCTCCCCTAGCATATCACTGGTCACGCAGTTTAGACCCCTGAGCATTTCTTCCCTAAAGGTAACATCTAGGCCTCAGTTGTATTTCAGCTCCAGGCCCAGAAAAGCAGAAAACCGGACAAGTGGCTGCCTCAGGACCAGATACATTGACTAATGACCCCCTGCCCTGGCACCAACCAGTGGAGACCAGGACCCTGAAAGAGCACACCTGTAAAGCTGGTGAATATTCTACTGAGATCCTCCCCTGAGACCCCCCCTAAGATTCCCGCCTGCAAGGCAGAGGACCCAGTGCGCACTCCCCACAAGGGGAGCACACCAGCACCATCATCACTCCCCTTCTTCCCTCAGAGGGGACCCCATGAGACCTGCATCCAGGGGAGCAAAGGGGAGCAGCCGCCTGTCCCCAGCTAACCCCCTGACCTATCTCCAAGGCCCCCTTTCTCTCTGACTCCTCAGTGAGACAAAGCAGCCCAGCCTGGGCTCTCCTGTTACTTCTATGCCCGTCCTCGTCTCACTGTCCTAAGTAACTTTTGCTGCCATCGTGGACCCAGCACCTTCGGCTCTGTGCTGTGCAGCCCTAACCTTTGGACATCCCCATTCCCCATCCCCTTTCCTTAAATAAATTTTATTTTACTTCCTTTACCATCTGAGATGGCCATGTAGCTGCCCCGGCATCACTGCCGTAACCTTTCAGTTTTCTTGATGTTTCTCACAGTCATTTCTTTTTCTCCAGCAGGCCCAAATGTTCTCGGTGTTTCCACAGTCAGGACTCAGCTGTCTTCCGAAAAGCAGCCACAGCATCTGCTCACACCTGGGAACATTCAGTAGACAAGCAGGTTCCACAGCTCGGTCACCATCATCTTCACAGGCAAGGAGTCTTGGTCACGGCCTTCTACTGAGTCCTGTGGTTCCGTGGCCCCGGGCAGCTTCACTGGGCTTCCCAGCCAGGAACCTGTCAACACCTCAGCAAAGCCAAGTTCCTGATGTTCAGCACACTGGTGTGGTCACCCTCCTCACCACCCACCAAACCCAGAGCAAGGTTGGAGGCTTTGGGATGGTCTCCTTCGTGGTCTCCAGGGCAGCATGCCTGGCTGCATATTTGCCCCCAAGTCTCCATTATCCTGGGACAGGCTAATGGGGACACCATGCAAGGGGTAAGGGATAAAAAAGGTCTCTGAGTTATTTTTATTCAAAAATAAATGACACAAGTCCAGGCCAGGTAGGTAGTTGGTGAGAGCGTGGTCACCATACACCAAGGTTTCGGGTTCAATCCCTGGGCAGGGCACACACAAGAATCAACCAATGCTGTGTAAGTGGAGCAACAAATGGATGTTTCTTTCTTTCTCTCTCTCCCTTCCTCTCTCTAAAATAATAATAAATGACACATTGCAGAGATATTCAAATAACTAAATTTACTACTTATCCTCTTAATGAAAAAGTAAAGTCTGTGTGTTCTACAGTAGCTAGAGGAACACCCCCAGTTACGAATTTCAGGAGCTGGAATGTCATTTTATTTATTTATTTTTTTGGAATATCATTTTAGAGATCTTCCCAGTGTACGAAATGTATTATAAAAATATACAAAGCCCAGAAAAGTTAATATCTGAGGCTCGTTCTGAATAAGAGAGGCCAGGCTTATAGAAAAATCAGTTTTAGACCAACTCTATTGGGAAAGAAAAACATTAAATTATTAATGTACTTATTGCTTCAGCCTAGTTTGGCTCAAGAAATAGAGCCCTAGCCAGTTTTGCTCAGTGGTTAGAGCGTCAGCCCGCAGAACGAAGGTCTCCAGGTTCGATTCTGACCGAGGGCATGTGCCTCCATCGCAGGCTCTGCCCCTGGCCACCGGCCTGGGTGCACGCGGAAGGCAACCAATCCATGTGTCTCTCTCATGCTGATATCCCTCCTCCCCCCGCCGCACCTTTTCACTCTTTGAAAAAAAAAAAAAGCAATGGAAAAAATATCATTGGGCAAGGATTAAAAAATAAAAAGACAGTGCCAAGCTTTTACATGAAGTCTCAGTACCTGTAGATGACTAGAGTTGATTTTTAAAATTTGTTTTTATTCATTTTAGAGAGAAAGGGGGGAGGGAATCAACTTGTTGTCCCACTTATTTATGCATTGATTGGTTGATTCTGTTGTGTGTCCTCACTGGGGATAGCACCGGAAACCTGGATGTATCCAAACGATACTCTAACCAACTGAGCTACCCTGCCAGGGTAGGATTACTTTTTTTAAAAATTGGGTGCATGTGTGTAGGTGTTGTCTGTGATGACTTATTAGGTATCTATGGCTATATAAAAATTGACCCAAAACTTACTGGCTTAAAGCAACACACATTTGCTATGTTAGTTTTTGTGGGTTAAGAATCCAGTCATATCTTAGCCGGTCCCCTACCGCAGGATCTCTCATGGCTACAATCACAGTGTTGGCTGCACTGCAGTCACCTTAAGTTGCAACTTGGAAATTTCTGCTCCAAGCTCATGTGACTCTTGATAGGACGAAGAAGCTACAGTCTCCCTTACAAGGTGTGCAATGGTCTCACTTTACAGTCTGGTTTTGAACCATCCTCTGTCTCCAGGTTTTCTTCTTTCACGCTTCCTGTTTTCCTCAGTTACCAATGTCTTTCCCACACTCCAGCTTGAACACGTTTTCCTGTTTTCTCAGCATTCCAAAAGCTAGTTCATTCCTCCTCTGGCATAAAATAGTGAGTGAAGAACCAGCATTCCTGCCTAAGAGAAACAGAGTAAGCAACTCTGTCACCTGTTCCTGAATCTCCCCCTGTGTGGGGTCCACATGATCAGGGGCAAGGGTTACCCAGGTGCCCTGGACTAGAGGGAGGTTCAGGGTGATAGACCTTCATTTTTTCAGGAGACAATGGGATTCAAGTAAGGGGGGCAGCCTCCTTTCGCTGGAATACAGTCCTCAGAATGGGCCAAAGGGAACAGAGCAGCTGCCAATAAAAGTTTCTAGAACAGCCTGGCTGGTGTGGCTCAGCAGTTGAGCATTAACCTAGGATCCAGGAGACAGAGGTTCGATTCCCGGTTAGGGGCGTGCAGGAAGCAGCTGATCAATGACTCATCATTGATGTTTCTCTCTCTCTCTCCTTCTCCTTTCCTCTCTCTCTAAAAATAAAAACACATTTTTTTAAAGTTGTAGAACTAACTATTTTACTAAAAACCGACATATACGTTTTACAAAATGGCATCCATTCTAGCCTCTTGGTCTCTTCCTTAACTCCACAAAAGAAAGGGGGTACTCAGGAAGCTCGGAAGACAGGGGCTACCCTCCAACACTCAGGCTGTCTCAGGCACCCCCAGAACCTGAACCAGTGCACGCACACAGAGGTGGGGACAGGGGAACCTACAGACTGCTCCTGCCAGCCCTGAAGTTACTGGAGCCTATCTAGAGTTCTCACCACCATCCGAGGTGAGGGCTCTGCCAGAACCACAAACACAGTGACCTACAACCTGAGCCTCAGCAGGACACATGGACAGGCCCTGCACAGGAAGCTTCTGGCCCAGAAGACGGGTATGGGTAACTTTGCCCAGTGCAGTGATGGGCTGGGTTTCCACCCCAGCTCCTCCACACACCACTGCATGGCCAAGATTAAATAAATCCAAGATACAGTTAGGGACATGGGGAGAGGTGGGACCCAGGGGTAAAGAGCAGGGTCCTAGCCTTGGCCGACATGGCTCAATGGTTACAGCATCTGCCTGAGGTCTCAGGTTTGATTCCCGGTAAAAGGCATGTACATGGGTTGAAAGTTCATTCCCCGGCCCTAGTCAGGGTGCATGCAGGAGACAACCAATGTCTCTCTCACATCAGTGTTCCCCGACCCCTTTCGCTCCCTTGCATTCTATCTAAAAATCAATGGAAAAAATACCCTCAAGTGAGGGCTAACAAACAAAACAAAAAAAAAAGGGGGGGGGTTCCTAGGAGGGGCTGAGGGCTCCAGAGGGGGGAGTGGGGTACTGGGTAGAATGGGGCAAAGGCAACGGAAGCAGGAGTACTAAGTGTGGAGGGCAACGGGGAGGGGAGGGCCTGGGTATGGAGGACAGGGGAAAGAGTGGGGGGGCTGGAGGAGGGGTTGTGGGGAGCCCCAGGAAAAAAGTGGGGACTAGGGAATAGGGACCCTCAGTGAAAATGGACACAAGAACCCCTGCAGGGGCCAGACCAGGACATCATCTTGATGTTCCTGTCAGGGTCACAGATTAGCTGCAGAGCCACGCGCCCTCCCACACAGCCACAGAGCTGGTGATGGCCTGAGACTCACCCTATACACCAGGGCCACTGCACAGACCAACACCGAGGCAGAGCAGGTGGGTCAGGGCTTTGTTAACCTCGCCCACCACCTCCACCCACCCCATTTACAGATGGGTGGACTGAGGCCAGGGGAAGGGTGTGACTGAGCTATGGTCACCCAACACATAAGCCCTGGAGGAGACACCACTAAGAGCACCACTGGGTGCAGACCAAAGGACAGGTGTCCTCAGTAGAAAGATGACCTAAGAATGGACAGGGCAGCTGGATGGTGGCCCACACAGAGGGCAGGCAGCACACATGCACCTCTGGTCTTCAAACGCTTCTTTCCTGTGCGTTGTGCGTCCCAGTGTCCAACCTGCTACAGGGCATTTCTGTGAAGCCCAGTGGTTACCCAGCACTCACCTCTGCCCAACTCTCCAGTAATCCCCCTCCCAGTGGTAGGGAGGGAGGGAGGGAGGGGAGAGAAACATCAATGTGAGAGATACATCCTCCCACACATGCTCCCCATTGACAGGGATGGAGCTTGAAACCCAGGTACATGCCCTTGACTGGGACTGGAAAGGGCAACCCTTTGGTGCACCGGTGGACACTGATTATTGAGCCACACCCGACAGGGCGGCAGTTACTTTCTTAAAGCTGTTTACTCTCCCAGGAGCCACTGAAGACCTTGAGGCAGGATTAAGCTGGATACTTCAGGAGCAGCAAGAAGCCAGCAAGATGGGAACGGGGGAGGGGGCCACATCAGAGGGCAGTCAGGAGCCTAAATATGTGCAGGCCCTATGTGAGGCCTCACCCACCAGCCTTCACATTGTATCCTGGGCACAAGAAAGTGACCAGTGAGAGAAACAGTACCTGCAGTGTATGGAGGATCGCTCTGGCTGCAGACAGCATTAGTCAGGTAGGAGATGTGTGTGTGTGTATGGGGGGCGGGGGTTAAGGGCACTTGAGGAATTGAACAAAAAAGAAAAAAAGAGAAACTAAAAACTCCTAAATACAGACAAGTGTGGTGACTGCCTCTGGTGACTGGGGGTGGGGGGCAGGGTATAGGCATAAATGGTGATGGACAGAGGCTTGACTTGAGGTGGTAAACACACAATATAGGATACAAATGATATGTTGTAGAATTGTGCACCTAAAATCAGTATAATTTTGTTAACAAGTATTACCCCAATAAACTCAATAAAAAATTTTTTGTAAAAAAGAGAGATAGGACCAGGACCAAAAAGTCCAGCAGTTAAATCAGACAAAGCACAAAAGGCCCGAGATGTATTTTGGAGACAGAGCCCACATGCTAATGGAGTACTGAACACATGCTAAGAGCAACCAACCTACTCAACTGGGTGGGCAGTTGAGACTTTGGGGATAACGGAATGTTTTGAACAAGCTTGAAATGCCTGTGAAACACCAAAGTAGAGACATTGAGTAGGCTGGTGGGCTCCAGATACCTATCTAGTCTGGGATGCAAGTTTGGGAGATGTCAGCAAGGACGGCATCAAAGCCGCTGAGGACTGAGGTACCTGCAAAACCCAATTCAGGGCAGCATAAGTCCTGGGAAAATCACCGGCAGCAGGCAACATTTAGAAAGGGCATCTACAGGCAAAGGCTGGCCTGCTGGGGGCCACACTGGTCCCTGAAGATGGCACTTGCTCAGGATGAAGGCAACACAAAGGATGGCACACTGGGCTGAGCCTGACTCCACAATGCCAGACGCCTGCACCATCTGTACTTTGTCTAACACAGGCAATTAGCACACACTTTCACTCATCCATTTTTATTTTGTTTCCTCTGTTTCCATTTTTCTTTTTACTATTTTTCTTTACTTTTGTTTGTTTTCACTCATCCATTTTCATAATAAAGTTTTAGTAGGGTGATGTGACACAGCAGCATAAAGCAGTCCCGAGTGGCAGCATGCTCTTCTGTAAGTGAGCACAGATTTGCGACTATGCAGGCTCCCCACTCACCAAGCCACTTAATCTAACCCTGAAAACTAAGCAAGGCATTGTTCCTGCCACATGCTGACACTTCAGTTCCCTGCAGAAGCTGTTCTAAGCCAGCCTCGTTCTTCTAGCTGCAGGAACCATTAACTGATCTGAAAACCTACAAATGGGGTCTTGTGCTTGTAGGACAGCACTCTATGCTGGTCTCACATCTTCCCAACAGCCATGGCACCAGATTAACTGACCAGCCAGGGACGGGCCAAGTCCCCATCTGTTCAAAAAGCATTCCTGGAAAGGCTCTGCGCTCAAGACAAACCCCCACAGCCCCTGGGGACAGTTGCAGGATGGGGGAGGGGCTAGAAGAAATTGAACCTAAACTCTTCATGAGGCGTTTCCAGGGTGGCCTTGGTTCCCCTTGCTAGGGGAGGCCTGCAGACCCTTCCGCTCTTCTTTCTGGTGGCCTGGCCTACAGGCTGCACCTGGGCTGAGTGGGCTGCTGCGGGGAGGGGACAGTGTCAGAACTGAGTAACAACAGCAAACATCAACTGTGCCCATACAACTCTAACCACTTTGTATAAATTGACTTACTTCTCGAAATTATACGATGAGTAACATAACATCCACTTAGAACCACAGAGAAATTTACTGACTCTCCTACTCCTGCCTCTCCCGGGGAGGCCTGAGTTCTGTGCTCAGGTGGTCCAGGCTTTTCCTCTCCCCATTTCCCCCGGCTTCTTCCCTGCCAACCCTGGTGCCCTGGGATTCTTCCTCCCACTCCCTAGGCTTTTAGTTCTGAATCAACCAGTTCCCAGCTCCTCACCAGTCTTGAGGGCGCGCAGGGCCTGGCGCCACTCGGCTTCCATCTGCGCCCTGTAATCCCCGAACAAGGAGCGCATCAGCCGCCGCTTCCGCGGCAGCGGGGCTCTCTCGGCGCGCAGGACGCGGATCGCCCCGAGGGCCTGCTCTTCTGCAGAAAAACGCCACAGGCTGCGACCTCCGCACCCGCAGCTCCACACGAAGGCGGGCGACCGCCCGCGCCCCGCAGCCCCG